ACGCCAATTTACAATTGAATTATATTTTGTTTAAGTTGATTTTTCCCTAGGGTAAAAATAAATAAGGAGTTAATAGTTATATAATTATTAAAAAAATGTTTCAAGTTATAAATGCTTAACTTAATATTTGTTTCCTATTGACTAATCAAATTAAAGTATCATTATGAATAATTCCTTCAGAATATTTTTATTTTTAATTTTTTTTCATTTTTCTATATTGGGATAATAGAATGATTTGTTTCTTAAATTAATTAATGGATATTAGTTATTAAATATTAAAATATATTTTCCATTCCTAATATCTGCTAATAAAAACTATATCCTTATCCTATCCTTCCTTTATACTTAATTAATTAAAAGATTTTATCAAATATTTCCTTAATTATAATATTTTTTTTCTTTTTTTAAATCATGATATGTTGTATTATATTACTTTATTTTTCCACTTATCATATCTTGTAATTTGGATGTTTACAAATATAAGATTCTTCTTGAATAAAAAAGTGATCTTTAGTATAGTTATATAGAGTAGGATTTTATTAAATACGCTTTCATTTTATGAAATGTTACGCCAATTTACAATTGAATTATATTTTGTTTAAGTTGATTTTTCCCTAGGGTAAAAATAAATAAGGAGTTAATAGTTATATAATTATTAAAAAAATGTTTCAAGTTATAAATGCTTAACTTAATATTTGTTTCCTATTGACTAATCAAATTAAAGTATCATTATGAATAATTCCTTCAGAATATTTTTATTTTTAATTTTTTTTCATTTTTCTATATTGGGATAATAGAATGATTTGTTTCTTAAATTAATTTATGGATATTAGTTATTAAATATTAAAATATATTTTCCATTCCTAATATCTGCTAATAAAAACTATATCCTTATCCTATCCTTCCTTTATACTTAATTAATTAAAAGATTTTATCAAATATTTCCTTAATTATAATATTTTTTTTTCTTTTTTTAAATCATGATATGTTGTATTATATTACTTTATTTTTCCACTTATCATATCTTGTAATTTGGATGTTTACAAATATAAGATTCTTCTTGAATAAAAAAGTGATCTTTAGTATAGTTATATAGAGTAGGATTTTATTAAATACGCTTTCATTTTATGAAATGTTACGCCAATTTACAATTGAATTATATTTTGTTTAAGTTGATTTTTCCCTAGGGTAAAAATAAATAAGGAGTTAATAGTTATATAATTATTAAAAAAATGTTTCAAGTTATAAATGCTTAACTTAATATTTGTTTCCTATTGACTAATCAAATTAAAGTATCATTATGAATAATTCCTTCAGAATATTTTTATTTTTAATTTTTTTTCATTTTTCTATATTGGGATAATAGAATGATTTGTTTCTTAAATTAATTAATGGATATTAGTTTTTAGAATGTTATAACGGATATAAGAAAGAACAAATATTAAATGTAAATTAACAAGAAAAATACACGTGGTTCACCAACAACGCGTTGGCTACGTCGTCTACAAGCAGGCGAGAGTAATAGTTATATTGCTTTTCAGGAAAACAGAATACAGATTCAGAATAGATTTGAGACCAATTACTGAAAAGTGAAAACAGATTTATTTTCTCTCGGATTTCTCTTGTTTTGTACTCCCTCCATATTTAAATAAATGAAACATTTTGACTTTTTACACTATTCATCTAAATCGCTTTGACTAACGCTTGAGATTTATTATACATAAGAATAAATATAGTATTGTGAGTACTTGTTGGAATCATCTCAATGAATTTCAATTGTTATAAGTTTACTTTATGATAATTTAAGAACAAAGATATTATAGTCAAAGTATTGCATTGACATATGTGCACACAAAAGACTCTCAAATTACCTAAAAAATCACTCAACTAATTTATAATGACGGCTAGCAAATAACCTAGTGGCCTCTTTGAAAGCTGTCATTTCATTTCAAATGATGGAATTGTCTCAAATAGCCTGTTTAGGAATTACTAAATTTGCATTTGGATTTGATTCAAATTCTAGTCTTTCAATATTAAGGTTCAATTTATAGGATTTTAAATCCAGTATCAATTGATGGCATTTCAAATCCTTCAAACCATTTCTTCTCTTTCCTTTTTAATTTTCCCCAATTGCAAAACATTTACTAGTTACTTGATCTTCCATCACTTTAATTGTGGGTAACATTATCTCGTACCCACTCTAAACATCCTCCGTTGTCTTCACGTCGACAACCTTCGTAACCGCTGTCGTCATGTCGATAACCTGCGTAGCCGTTGCCTTCACCTCCGTGAACCACCTCCTCCATCGTTGCAATTTCACAACCGTCACCTCCGGTGCAAGTCCTTCAATGGCAGCATCATCATCTTGAAATTCATAAACCTAATCTCAGCTTTTTAAAAGGAGAAATTAATTTGAGCCATACTTTCACCAATTTGGGTTGATAATTTGGGAAATTTGGATGAACATGTGAGGTGGAGAGAGAACCGAGATGAGGAAGCAAGGTAAGAGGAGAGAGAATGGCTGGTTTTGGTAATTGGAGATGGTGTATGGCAAATAAATCTAAAATGATAAAATTTGAAATTCTTATTTCTCCCAAACATATAATTTGGAATTGAATGTGAGTAATTGAAATTCTAGATTTCAAATCCCATATTTGAACTGAAATGGTTGAATCCAAACAATACATATGGGTATTTACAACAACCCTTAGCTGGTAAAGTTTGGCTTTAATTAAGGAAATAAAGCTTATGAACAAACCAACTAAAATCAATCATAGGCGTGCTGCACGAGGCATGTGCATGCCCCCTGATTAGTAGCAAAGCAGGAACTCTAAATCGAACTGACACAGACGTGTCGCACAGAGCAAGGGTGTGCTACCCCTGTGATGCACTAAGCATGGAACCTAACACCGGTATGCCAGATTTTACACATGCATGTCAAGGAGAGTGTTGCGTCTTCTTCGTTGAGGCACGCCCATGTCTCCAAAAAGCATGGGAGGGTCTTGCTACATTTTCCCATCTTTGCAACACAAGCTTCCTAGCTCCAATTCAAGGTGACATTTCTTACAAGAAGGAATTCTAGTTATAGCATTTCATGAGAATTTAGGGATTGATTGATCTCTCATTCATTATCCAACTTCCTCCCATCCACCCATCCCCTCCTCGTCCCACTTCCTGCAGCACCCTAAGCCCTCTTTCTTCCCCTCTTGATTCACGTAAGGGGCGCAACAACTGGTTTTCATAGTGGATGTTTTAAAATGGTGGGGGTAAGGGTTGATTGTGGAAGGATTTCGAAGGGGAAGTTCCCAGCTCGTAGAGGGTTAGGGGTAGGGGTTTCGGCCAAGCTAGTTTGGGCTAGATTGGGGATGTGGAGGATGGGGGTGAAGGCTGGTCGTAGTAGATTTCGGGGCTGGTGGCTGATGGGAATGAGGGATGGGGGTGATGGTGGTCGTGGTTGGTGCTTGGATGGGGTTTGTTAGCGCTAGTGATGATAGGTGGGGCGAGGGCTAGTGGTGGTTGGGCAATGGTGGGGTAGCGATGGGGTAAGGTCGGCGGGTTTTCTTGAAAAAATCAATTTTTTTCTAAGAAAATTGCTAAAAAAAATGACCATTCACACTACAACATGTGTCATAATTAACTTATTAAACAAGTTACCAACCGATCAAAAGGTTGTTTTATTTGTGGAAGACCAACCGATCGGGCCATTGTATTTGCAGAAGACCAGGCCATTTTATTCTTGACAATTTTTCCAAATAAATTTCCTGTATGATAGATGATAATTTTATTTTCTATAATTAAATACTCAGTATTTATTAAGCAAATACACGTTTATATCCTATATAAACAAAATTTGTTTATATTAAGTTTTATTTTCTTTTTTTGGTAAAATTTAAGCAAAAACCCTCTCTCTCTCTCCTCTATCACCACTGAACCACTAGCTAGCACCACCTTTTGATTAGCACGACCACTAACACCATCATTCGACCATCGTACAATCACTATCACCACCCATCAACCACTGCACAACCATTAGTTTCACTAGACAACCATCGCACCTCCGCGAGCACCACCCTTTTCCTAAAGAGTTAGTTTGGGCCCACTTTACATATATCCTACTGAGGTGCCTTTTGTTTGGCAGGATAGTTTAGGCTCGTAATGGTGGTTGGATGGTCGGCAAGGCCATGGGAGAGGAGGAGAGAGAAGGAAATTGTGGAATGGGAGGGAAGGAGAGAAAAATGAGTGGTCATGGGAGGGGATGGTCGGCATTCGACAAAGCCATGGGAGGGAGGGAGAGAGAGAGAGAGAGGTGATTTTATTTTCCAAAATATCATCACATTCAAAAGAAAGATAATATAGGATATCAATGGAGGCTAGCTGATAATTAAATACTAAGTACTCCCTATGTCCCTCAATGATAGGCTCTTATGGGCAATTTTCATAGAAATTAATAAACATAAATAAGTATTGTAGTAAAAGTATATTTGGAAATTTAAATTTACATTGGGTATGCAAAAAAGTAGAGAAAGAAAATAATAAAAGTACGTGAAAAAGCAAATTTTACAAGGAAAAGGCAAATTTGCACAAATATTGTTGTAAATTGGAGAGAAATTTGGTAAAAAAATAAAAATAAATAATATTCCCTCTGCCCACGATTATCTGCACCAAACGTCATTTTTGCGGACTCCTAGGCAAAACTTTTAATGTAGTTTAATTAAATTTAGGTGGGTTTAATTAAGTTGTAAAAAAGATGGAGATAAGAGAGAGAAAGGGTCCCATATTTTTATGTTTGTTAGTGGGTTAAAATGAGTGGTAAATAGGATAGAGAAAGTGGTCCTATATGTTTAATTAATAAGATAGTCTTTTTACACTTTAAAATTAGAGGAAAGATAAAAAATTATTGCATATAATTGTGGGCGAACGGAGTATTAATGATACTTGAAAAAAGCAAATGAAACTATCATTTTGAGACTTAAAATTGGCCATAAAAGACTATTAATAAGAGACGGAAGAAGTAATTATTGAACATCTTTGGAATACACAATACATTGGACATGCATGGTTTCCCAAAAAACATTATATAACAAAATTCCTTAATTACAGATGCTTTACCTCATCATTAAGACCTGAAAATTTAAATGTAGGGCAATTTGGATTCAAAATACATACATTTCCGATCAACTAGACACGATATATGCGACTGCGTCTACACAACTTAGTACCTCTCTCAACCTTCCTCCTCCTTTGGACAGTACTCTAGCATTTAGTGATATTAGCTCCGCTTTAGATAAAGGTATCACATTAACACAGCATCTCATCGATTATGGTTGAATTTGACTTGAATAACATAGCGCATTCTTATCTGATCTACATTGTAAACTATGTACTCGTTGTACAGTAGACTACCCTGAAGTAAATTATAAATGAGAGTATGAGACATCATGTGTGAAATCAGAAGTGACACTCTCCAGAGAATTATTGTTTAGCTAATACGGAGTATGTATTAGTTGCTTACCTTGATATCTTTCTTCTCTACTGGCTTTCCAAAGGGAACAACGACATCATCGAGCACCTGGGACTCCAACATATTTGGTTCTGTTGAACCAATTCCTTTCGTGCTGCCATGCAAAAAATTAAATTGAGAACTATGTGAAAGGGCAAGTACAACTTGGATTACATTAGGTTCCTAAATATAAAATAAATGAGTTTCAGATTTTTGATCGTAGATCTCAGAGACATTTTACCATTCATTAAAGCTTAAGACAAATTCAGGCATAAAGTAACTTGATACATGTCATTCAGAAAACAACATTAGTCTTTCAGTTTCTAGGTTTTTGGTCTTCAAGTCCTAAATATGCATTTCCACAAATAAGAGATTACTGTACCAAATGCAAAGAGGAAAGCAGGCAAATAAGAATTTGTATGCACTAGCACCATGACAGCGGAACTTTTGTGTGTGTAGAAGAGGCAAGGAATGCTGGGAGCAGGTCTTTAAATTAAGCACTTTCAGCTGTCAATCAGATTGAACATGACAAAGAACTCATACAAGCAATATATTGGCCTCACCTTAGCTTTCCTGCCGGTAATTTATCTGCATCGTACTTTGAATGTAGAAGCTCCTCCATCTCACCCAATGCCACCTGAAGGAAGAAAAAGAAACAGTACCATAACCATACAGATGGAAAATGAAGTTAGTTAACCACCAAAGTACAAGAGTAGTAGTTTTAATTAGTTTGTCAACAGAAACAGGTCATTCAAGGCCTTAAAACAAACCCTTTCTGGGTGTGAACCTATCTAAATAACATTTAAGAAATACAAAAACCATTACACACATGTGAAGTCATAGCTAAACATATCAGTAAAATGTGATAAAAATAGCAGAAAGATTACAATTATAATTAAAATCTCATCATTAAAACTTTTAAAAGTCATAAAGCTACTAACAGGTACCTCACACAAAAGTAGAACACCAGTAGGAGCACTACGGCTGGAAAAGCAGTAATTTGCACTCTTGGAGAACATGTCAGCGAAATAAACTCCTTTGCCAAACATATATCCTGTCACAGGTGCTTCAGGCGGAGCAATGCGCAATCCTGGATATAAAGAAGTAGGGGCAATCAAAAGGAAAATCAATAGTAACTTTGTGAGTAGCAAAAAATGATAAACTTGCTTGTCTTTTATAGGATTTAGTATTACCTTGAGATAAAATTCCAGTCCAGTTTGTAAGCCGAGAACCATGCCACAACAGCATCCTATTTCTTGAGCTAGCAAACTGGTCAGAAACCAAAGCGGGTATATATAAATAGGCACTGAAATCGATCCTATACATAAGGCATCTGGTGTAGAAATAATGCATTTATATTAATAGAAGCTTTGAGAAATTTACCTTTTTAAACTGCTCCTCTTCTCTCTGTCTAGACACTCTAAAAACATGAACGATATCTACATTATAGTCTGAATGTGTTTTGGCATGAGTATTCTTTGTATACTTCTGGATCTAAACAGAGAGAAAGTCAATCCATAAATCTATTATCTTTTACTAGAACTACAATATATCAACAGGGTTCACTAGTGTGATAGTGAGCAGGAACAATCACATCAGACACGTTTCAAGCCAAATGCTTGAGAGATTCTCAAAACATCAGTCACGCGTCAAGGGATGAAGTGCAACAGTGTAGACAACAGCATTGAAAGTAATTTCTTTCAAGGACTTTTACATGATGTATAGGAAATAAACCATGAATTCCCACACGAAGAATGCCACACACACACACACAAAGGTATTTTTGAACATCTGAAAATATGGTACCAATGTCATACCATGGAGAATTCTTCTGAATCAACTTCTACAGGTATCAATTGACAATGAAGTCGTTCATACTGAGCATACAAGGGATCATCCTGCGACAATTTTCAAAGTCAATAAGATACTCGAGAGGACAAAATGTGATGATCAAGAAGCTAAATATAAGTAGTATTTATTCTGACAGGAAGATCACCTGGACCCATTTACACCAATTGAATTGGTCCAGAGAACAGGCTATCATAAGTATCCTAACAAACAAAAGGCATAAAGGCAAGTGTGTACCTGCATTCCCATATCATCACTCAACAATTTTGTAGCAAGCTCAATTTCACCCAATGCCTCAACCTAACAAATCAAAGCAGCAGCAGAGCCATTCAGTAACAATGAGCATCAAGCATCTCTTGCTAAACAATAATAAGACTTGAACTCAAAATTTGCAGGAAGATTCATACAATGAAAAGTTAATACCAACAAAGGTAACCAGATAATAAGAAAGCACTATTTGATGTCAAAGGTTGCAACTATGAAAGCTTACCATTTCTAGTTTGTTTTTCAATTTTTGAGGCGTGTCAATGACAAACTCACCTGCCAGCATTTACAATTATATATATATTAAATGAAAGCCTAGCTATAGCCACACTCTATAATAGTGTTAAAGGGCCAACTGATAAACATTTGTGAAACTTCGAAAGTAAAGGAAGGGCCAAAACAATAATCAAACTTCAAAATAATTCCACCTAGATGAGCAAAATTAACTTACGCATCTTCTTAAACCCAAAATCATGAGGGATGACAGTATAGAATTCCCTGAAAAAGATAGCAATGCATGGGTTTTACTAGAATGGACATGAAGAGGAATTTAAAAGACAAACAATAAGTATATTCATATATAACAAGCTGACTAGATCTGCCAAGAAGTATCCAAGGGAATAGACATGGTGAACAGAAACTCACCCACTTAATTGCTCAACTAGCTTTTTATTTGATTGCCCAATGACTTCAGAAAGCCTCTTCAAAACGTCATAACCCTACATCCAGGCAACAGGATCAAGAAACTGTAATCAAGTTGAGTACATAACTGATGTAGGAAAGCAGACTATACAGCTGAATATTTGATTAAACAATTGAAGAGCTGCTGAACAATGTGCTTTACCATAAGGCCACCAACTTTTAAGTTGATTGGCAAATCAAAATAAAATTTCCTTAAATCAAACATATGAATAACCAGCATCAGAAATACTGGCATTTAAATCAAATTTTAAAAGTAGACAAACATGAGACAAGCATAAGCTTCTATAGATAGAAATAACCAAAGGGAAGGTTGGGATTTTTTAAGCCTTGATCAACTATTTTTGCTAAAATTGTAAATAATAACACTAGCACATTTATTCCAGAAATTTGGGCCTTGAAATGCACATCAATGTGAATATCTCAACCCTTAGTAGTCACTCTGTATTATAATTGACAAGGTAAGGGTATCATCACTTCTTTTGGGGGGAGAAGACAACTACTTTGCAGCAAGTATACTATTATTACAATGACATCATCATTTATTAGATAACAACAGATGCTACCTAACCAGGACAACTTCAAGGTCTAATCAACATTTACATTTTTACAATAAGCAAAGTTTGAACAATAAATTTAAATAACCTTTAAAATTGTGGACTTGCTTAACTTTCCAAGTGGTAACTTCTCAGCATTGTATCCTGAACAATAAAAAGGAAAATACATTAAAAATATGAAACTAAAAGATAACACAAAATAGTTAATTAAGCAGAAAATAAGAGTGCTCTGTTGCAATCAATTTCTGAGAAACCAGCACATCACAACCCCTTTTCGGCTTTCCCCCCACACAAGAAAAATTGAACATCTGATAATGAAAGCAAACACTCAATGAAGATCTATAAGTAATAAACACTAGAAACTACTTCTCAGCACAATTACATTTTTTAGTTAACAGTACAATCTTAAGTTTTTCAAAAGGAAAGCAGCATTAAAAAAAATTAGGTATCTAGATATTGACCTATTTCCATCATCTGCTGCCTCATCATGCTGATATTGCATATAAGAGAAATAAACTTTGCAACACTTGGCTCAAGTTTGCTTTCCTGAGGTTGAATGTTAGTACAAGCATACGGCTTCTCATGGTCCTGAAAGTGAACATAAACATAATATTTCAAGATCAGGAAAAATGAGCATCCAGCAACCAAAGTTATATACTATTATAAACTAACAACTAAAGCTACAAATACTGTATCCTAATCCTGACGTAATGACTCGTACACTATATTGTAACTCCCCAAGCATACCACAGATATCTGCATAAAGGAAGATGTAGTCTCCAAAACCTACAGCATCCAAATATTCAGGTAGAACAAAACATGTTCAATACAACAGAAAATGAACTCAATTTATACCTGTTCCTTCTCACTGTAATCCATTTCCAACCATGTGTAGCACTTTGGGTAAGAAACAAAATCTTTTCGATTGGACCAATGATTTTTTGTCTTGGCCAAAAACTTCGCCTCAAATTCTTCGGTAGCACTTTCCCGACATGAATAGGGACCAAACAACTTATCTTGACCCTTCACACCTACTCTGCCCCATCTATTGTAAACCATGTATAGACCACCACCATCAACTTCTGCACTTGTACAAGAAACAGGTAAATGGAATTTTGCTGAGCAGTGAAGGTGCAAGAAGCATATACTAGCATTGACACTTTGACAGATACATAAATTCAAGAATAGAGGCACTATAAAAATAATCAGATAAATTAATAACACTATGCATTGATAAACATCACAGTACATATTCTAATAAATAATTTGAAGATTTTGAACAAAAGAATAACAACCATTTTCAAGGTGGAAAAATATATTGACCTTAATTACTTATGTTTAACATTCACTGAAAAAATCTTTAGCATACCAAAGAGTGTAAGTCAGTTATACTCAACTCACCATTGAAAGAATCAGTTGTGTTGTCTTACATTGGCTGGACAACATGGCATCATAAATGTCATCACCCTAATTGTGTTCATTATCTACAACAGTAAATGTGATTTTCAAACCCTCCCACCGAACACCCACCCTCTAATCAAATCAAAAAAATTTCTGATAATTTGAAGATAAAGTTATATACCCTCGTGTACATACAAACTTAATCAAGTAAACATCAATAATTACCAGTTTAAAACATGATATGAACTTCTATGGCATCTGGTGCCAGTATCCAAGATTATCTGCAACCTTTCTTCAGAGAACGCCTTTCACCAGCTTCTCCTTGTTCACCTCCTTTACACATCTCTTCGTCTTGTCATATCTTTCTTCTCCCTCTAGTTCGTGTCATACAACTTAATCAAGTAAACAAAAGTTACCAGTTCCAAAACATGATATGAACTTTTTATATGGTCTGGAAGCCATTGATCCAAGACAGCTGAACCTTTCTTAGTCGCTTTCACCAGCTTCTCCTTCTTCACCTCCTTTACCATCTCTTCGTCTTGTCTATCTTCTTCTCCCTCTCTTCCTTTAGCTTAACATACCGCCACAATATTGAAATCATGAACCAGCAGAAGAATATATATATATATATATATATATATATTATATATATATATATAATATATATATATATATATATATATATATATATATTATATATATCAATGGAACTTGAAGTTGGTGGAAATCCTGTCGTATTACCCCCCAAGGTTTCACTTTTCAACTTCTATTCTTAATTGTGTAAGTTATCATAAGATTAAACTCCCTCTGACTTGAGATAAGTGACATTACACTCAAGTTCCATTAATCCAAAACATTTATCAAATGCAACGTGTTATTGCAAAAGTAAATGTCACATTATAGCAATAATGTAGGATTGTAGACAATCTTATATAAACAATGCAAAATTTAGAATCTGTACGATACCAATGAGATTTCAACTAGGTTTATCCAGCTCTTAATATGTGACCATAGAGACTCCTTAAAGTTAAAAGGGACTTATAATTTGTACAAAGACTATATTTGCTCCAATGTACTAATAGCAAAGTATAGAGTCCGCCTAGCTTGGGGACAATTAAAAAGAAATATTTGTATCAACCACATTGAGTTTGTTATATAAGGTGCAAACAATACATTCAAATGCACTTCCTATTGACCATTAATCACATTTGGAATTTAATCCAAACCCATTAGCCTTTCTCAGTATATACAATTCACATAACATAACATAACTACGCATTTGAAAATGTAACCTCTTCCAAACAAGCCAAATGAGTCAACCAACTTCTTCCGAAAGTCATAACAATTGTTAACTTCCACCAAAACCTAATGAAGGTGTTGTTTTGATACCAATGTGAATTTCAAATTTTTACTTTTTGAGTATTCTAAAATTTCTAATAGGCTAAAATCACAATGTTGTGCTTCATATCATTAAATTTCCAATCCACCATATAAAATTTGACAATTAAACATACACAAAAACAAAATAACTCGAAATCAAAAATCAACAATTGAAAATTGGCAAGAAAATAGTAAGAAATATACCATCCCCATTAATAGCAGAAGAATCACAAAGCCTTTGAATAATCTCCTTCTTAGTGCCACTACTAGAAACCCCTCTATTAGAAGCTTCTTTCCGCAATTTCTGAATATTCATCCTTTGTAACCTCTCAATATCACAAATTTCATCAAACCCATTTCCAATTTCCTCATTAATTCCATCTTCATCAACCCTTTCCCTCTTCTTCGCCGCCCTCGTATTCGGGGCATCATCATCCTTGACAATGCCTTCTTTGCTAAGGGCTTCTTCCAGCCTCCGCACCTACAATTCAACAAAAACCCAATTCATTAATACAAGTATAAAATTGTTCGAAAACAATATTAGTCGTGTTCGTGTTTTAAGAATGTACGACAAAATCACGCGCTTACCAAAGTGGGTTTGGTACCGGAAGTGTCAAGGGAGCGTTTGGAGAGTTCGGCTCGAAGTTCAAGGACTTTTAAATGGGTAGCCATTTTTGTTACAGAAGAAGTAGAATAGTTTGTGTGTTGAGTTATGGAGTTGAGAGACAAAGGAAGTGCGGTTGAATTTAAGGAAGTTGGAATTTGAAATGAAAATTAGGAGAAGCTTGCCAAGGAAGGGAGAGACATGAGACCGAGAGAGAGTTTTCAGTGGTGTGCACGATTGATTTATTTATTTATTTATTTTTATTTTTTATTTTTGGCGCCGGCTTTACAAATGTTAAATAAGGTATTTTTGTTTTTAAGGGCCTGTTCATATTTACTGAACTGAACTGCGAACTGAACTAATTGGAGCTGAACTGAAAAATTAAAATGCATAAAAATATATGAAAATGTTTATGAAAATTAATGATAATATATATAGTGGATTGTGAAAAATATAAAAGTGTTTTAAAAATAACTCTGTATTTTAAATTATTAATTTTTGTGTATTATATTTTAAATATATATATATAAATAAAAAGTATTCTTCAATATTTTACTGTAGTCAATCGTTGCTTGTTGTACTTGTTTCGGGGTTTTCTGATGTCCTGCGGGAGAGTTACAATTCTGAGACTGGAACCGAACGCCTGTACCTGCAAAACAACGGAGACTCCTGGTGGTGGGAGCTCCGCCTCCAACGGTCAAGTTAGTACTTGATTAAGGAGTAATTAATGCGGAAATTAAAGTGAGTGGGTCTCTCTAGGTGAGAGTGTTTAATGTGAGTTTTTAGCGTAATCAGCCTGTAACTCTGGGTATAATCAATGTGTTTTTTTCCGTAATCCCCCCTTAATGAGGATTAAGGGAGGTATTTATAACCTTGGGAAACGTGCCAATCCTAGGTTTAGGTTAACCTAGGGCTGATTGGGATTCCCTCGGATGTTGGGCCTGGGTGGCCGGTTTCTCCATTAGGCATGGAGTATGCCACGTGTCATGACATAACAGGTCCAAGGTGGACGAATAAGCGTGTGCCACGTGGCATGCCCTGACAGTTCTATCTGGGGGACACTTGGCAGGACTTGATTGGCCCACGTGGCGCATTCCGATTGGTGGGAGCAAAATCCCCTAATCATTTGCCCCTCACAGGTGGCACGTGACTGGTCACGTGTTACCTGTGACAGGTGCCGCACTGTAACAGGCGACGGCCTGCTACAGGTGTTAGTCGGCGAAAGGCCGAGAGATTTTCCCGCCCAAATTTTGAATTCTGAAAGTGACCCTTTGTCTTCTCACTTCGCCTATATAAGGGAGAGTTGTCTTGAGACATTTTCACACTTGAGAACTTTTTTGAGAACATTCGGACCCCTGAACTTGCTCTGACATTTTGGACCTTTTCTGCCTACCGCCTGTTCTGACAAGCCGCCTGCAAAGGATTTTCAGAACTTCATCAACCGTCACTCGTTCAGGTAACTGTCGGTTCTCTTACTCTTAATTTTCTTTTCTTTTTTTTTTTTTTTGAAATGGCACCACGGAAGCACACGACACGACCTAGGTTAGTGATCAGCCGGTCACCGGGGACGGCTGAATCCAGGACTAGGAGTGCCGCCTGCCCTTTTCCGGACCCATCTTTGCCCTTTATACAAAGTCCGACTGTATCTGTGTCTATGCAGAGCAGGATGGCCAGAACAAAAAAGACTGCTAGGATCTCAAATTCAGACGGCTCCTCCCACAGGGTGCCGATTAGTGAAACATCTGACCAGGCGCCACATGTGAAAGTGAAACAAGGCGGCCTGAAAGCCGGCAATTCTGAGGGAGGAGTCATAGTGACCCCTTCCCATTTTACAGTTAACAATTCTGCTCCTTTTCAAGGAGAGGAGGCGGGCCCCTCCGGGAGAGGGGAGGAGTCGTCCTCTTCGGACTCGTCAGAGGACGACTCCGAGTCAAACTCTTCTGGCCATGCTTCTCTGGACACAGAAGAGAAAAACAGTCGCCTGCAAGAGGCGAGGCTTTCTCACGCAGTTGAGAAGGGGGACAATTGGGCGGAGCCATCCGCCTCTTACCGAGAGCAAAATACCCCCTACTACTGCATGGTACCTCGGGGCCGGATCACAGTCATGCAAGAGAAAGTGGAGAGCTTTATCGCAAACCACACAATGGGCCCCGACTTTTTAGTGTTTGTGCCGGATCCAGAAGACACAGTCGTCTGGCCGGCTGGTACCAGTTATGATAGCGCCTGCTTTGGCTGCTACGAGGCGGCCATCAAGGCAGGGCTGCGCTTCCCATTACATCCGGCTGTTCAGCGGATCTTGGATGGGTATGAGTTGGGGTTATGGCAGTTAGCCCCAAACTCCTGGGTCAATGTACTCGGCTATGTGGCCGGGTGCGAACTGCACGGGGTGGAGCCGAGCTTCGAGGCTTTCGCCCATATGAACTATCTCAGCCGGACCCCTAAGGCAGGCGGTACCGGCTGGTATCAATTGACAAGCCACAGGGGCTACCTCATGACGAGAGGTAAAGCAAACAAGTGGAAGGACTGGCGGAGCACCTTCCTCATCATTGAGAGTTCAGACACTAAGCTGAACAAGCGCTTCAATAGGTGGAACAGGAATCCGCCCCTTCTTGCAGGCGGCCGTAGCATGCCGCCTGTTCCCCCCAAGGCTAAGAAAGAGATCCTTGATAAAGGACTCTTTAAAGTAGAGTCGAGAGTCGACTCTACTTCAGGGGTACGAGAGCAAGTACCCCTGCACTGCGTCCCGAGCTTCAAATGGCTCTACGACGAGTACTTTTTGGCCGCCTGTGGCCTCAGCAGTCGGTGCTCAAGAGGTAGTCGGCCTGTCGAATACTCTGTTGTTCCATACATTTCTTGTTATGACTTTTATTAACTTTGATGTTTGTTTTTGCAGCTGACGCCATAAGCAAAATTACCGCCTCCAAGACTGCGGCGGCCATGTTGCGGGCCTCCATTATGCAACAAGCTTCAACCGACTCCCCCAAGAAGGGGGCACCCTTGGTGAGCTCCGAAACTTTCACCCTCTTTTTGGAGTTGTGTTTATGCATATACTGACTTTTTTCTTCTTTTTTAGACGGGTGCTCCAAGAGCTTCATCTTCCCAACAGCCGGACCCCAAGGCCCGGAGGACGACTGTTGCGAGCTCTCCTGGTTCTGCCAGGAAACAGGTGGCGGCTGAGAAACAGCCGGCCACTTCTTCTAAAACTCCAACTGGGCCGCCTAGAAGTATGAAGTTGTCCTTGTAAATTTTAGACTTGCTCCCTTTTTTACTAGGTCTAATCCGTTTGTTTATGCTTGATGCAGCCGACCCTCAGGAGTCTGACTTGGTAGAGGTGGCCAAGTCTATGATCAGGGCCGTTCCTCCAGCTGAAAGGGAGGCGGTCAGGGGTGTCGGCACCCTTGACCTAGACGGGATTGCAGGGGTCCTTGCTGAGGTATACTTAGCATATTTTTGAGTATTTGAATTCCAGGACGCCTGTTTTCTTTTTGTTTGGAAACTGACGCCTGTTCCTTTGTACTCAGGCCCTGCTCCGAGTGAACGGCCTTCGCAAGCCGCTTGACCGGAAGAACAAAGAGGTAAAGGCTGCAAAAGCTATGGCCGCCTCTGACTGTGATAAGGCAATGTTTCAAATTGCCCAAAATGAAGTTCTGACCATTGATATTCTTTATTATCAAGCGCAGGCTACCGCCGCTGTTAGGGCTCAGTTAGAGGCGGCCCAGAAGAGGAATGGCGAGCTGGAGGCGACCATCACCAATCTCAAGGCCGAGCTGAAACCTCTTCGCCTAAAGATGTACTCATACGAAGCCTTGGAGAAATCCTTGGCCAACGTAAAGGAACGCGTGGTGACCCAGGAGAGGAGTCTTACTCAGGAGCTCTCGGAACAGGCCGAGCAAGAGAAGAAAGAGCTGGTCCGGGAGATGATGGAAGACTCCGCTCAAATCCAGCGCATGACTTGGGGCCGCCTCTTCCCCAATGCCGACTTTGCCTCATGGGAAAAAACGTACCGCCAGTGTTCTGATACATATAATCAAGAGATCCTGGCGGCTGCTGAGGAAGAGGCGTTGGAGGAAGCGTTGGAGGAGGAAGAGCCGGTAGTGGCACTTGTGCCGCTTGGGGGTAATGCATCAAAAAAGGATGCAGCTGAAGCCGAGTCCAGCAAGAAGAGTGCTGACCAGGCGGCAGCTGCTAATATTGAAGATCTGCCCCCTTCTTAAGCTTTATGTATTCTTTCCACGGTCTGCGTGCCGTTTGTTTTGTATTTACCCGGCAAGGGGGCCGGGGCTTTGAATATTTTGCCGGTCTTTAATGACCGGCTTCTTTTTAATGAATTTTTGTTTTGCTTCAAATTTGTCTAAGTATTGAATATTCTAATATCCAATTGTTCACTAGACCGACTGTTTTACATGGCCGATAGTTGCAGACAGGTACGGATAGTTAGTCACGCCGCCTATGCCCCTGGACGACTGGTTGTTTATTTCCAGGATAGACGATCAGTCGGCCATTTAAAGACTGGATCCTTTTTAGGCAGGCGGTCCTGTCATTTGTAAATTTAACCAAGTAGGAAAGTGGTCTGACCAAGTGAACATGATTGTTACTTAGTTGCCAAGGAACTTAGTAGAGGTATCAAGCGGTGGGTACCGGTTGTTCCCCTTTATTCGCCAATGTTTGTTGGCTTTTAACTCATAAGTTGTTAACCTAGCAGGAGTAGTGGTTGAGTGCCACTGTTTGCCAAAAAACAGGCGGTCTACTCAAACCTTTTAAGTTCCATACCAAGTTTGAGGGAGTGACTATGAGTTAACCTTGGTGTTACTCAGTCGCCGTCACTCTTGCTTGAGTAGTAGAGGTACCAGGCGGCGGCGGCCGGCTAGACCCCTTGATTCGCCAATGTTTGTTGGCTATTAACTCAAGAGGTTACCTAGTAGGAATAGGGGTTTGAGTGCCGATGTTTGCCAAAAAAAGGCGGTCTACTCAAACCTTTTAAGTTCCATACCAAGTTTGAGGAAGTGACTGAGTTAACGTTGGTGTTACTCAGTCGCCGTCACTCTTACTTGAGTAGTAGAGGTACCAGGCGGCGGCGGTCGGCTAGACCCCTTGATTTGCCAATGTTTGTTGGCTATTAACTCAAGAGGTTACCTAGTAGGAATAGGGGTTTGAGTGCCGATGTTTGCCAAAAAACAGGCGGTCTACTAAAACCTTTTAAGTTCCATACCAAGTTTGAGGAAGTGACTGAGTTAACGTTGGGTTGGTGTTACTCAGTCGCCGTCACTCTTGCTTGAGTAGTAGAGGTACCAGGCGGCGGAGGCCGGCTAGACCCCTAGATTCGCCAATGTTTGTTGGCTATTAACTCAAGAGGTACCCCTTGCATTTATCCCAA